TCGATACGGCACTTAGCATCATCTTACTGGTGCCCAAGCACGAGGATTTCTCATTTCGCTTTTGATTTGAGGAGGAAAGCAAAGGGGGAAGAAGTAGAAGGATCAATTTCATGGCTCCTTTGATGTAAGAAGGTGCGTAAAAGCAAATACACACACAAACAAAATCCTTGCTGTTCTTCATTTCTTAGTGCAGAACGACTGCTAACCTGGTTCTGTTTTTATCGTGCATCACTCTGTGGTATATATCCACACAACCGCACTCTGGTACGATCCTCATCCAAAATACTTTGCTAGGAGAATGCAGGACACTCCACGAGAATACATGGAAAAACATGGAAACGAAGATCTGCGGTAAAATGCGTGGCGGCGGCCGCGGTACCGTTTCCTCATCTAAGACCAAGTTAACCGCACCGCATTCCGAGCCATTGCTTCCACATGCTCTGGCGGCGAGAGGAGGAGGGCGGGGGGAGGGAGGGAGGGGGGGGGGGGCGGAGAGGCGTCGCCAAACGAACCATTCCATTAGAGGTGGTTTGTGGTGCGGCCGTTGTTCTGTCTAATGCATTTAGAGAGACTGTCCTGTATTCCCCTAGTAAAGCATTTGCTCATCCACATCGAAATGATTTGTGGAGTGGAGATCGAGCCCAGGATCTCTGGGTTCCGCAGCGCGAGCTCTCGCTCAACGTGCTTCGAGCTTATCCACCAAGGCCGAAATCATGAGCCAGGAAATATTCCCACATATTTTTGGATCTATAATTGGCAGGTAATATATGACGTTAAAGCAATACTGTACTTAAAATTTGGGGTGCGATTATCTCGTAGTAGCAACTATAAGATATCTACATGCCATCCATGACGGTATTGCGAGAAATAATGTGGTAAAAATACATTTAAAGGAGAAAACTGCGTAAAACCGAATTTCGAGCTTCGTGACGTGGCAGTCCTCGAAGGAAGAGAAGGCTTAAGGCGAAGGTAGCTTGGCTACGTCACATCTCAAAGGCCGGCCGCGGTCCCAGTTGGATCGCGACATTCTTTTAAAGAAATACAGCGTTTTGTTTGAGATATCGTTATAGAGATGGCGTTTCTGGATCCGTACTGCTGGCTCAAACATTTCTCCGGCATTTTTGTTTTTAGGAAAAAGTATAATATCGGTTTAGCATATCCTTAAAACCAATGTTTCGCTATAATTTAGATAATCTTGACCAATATTCTAAGCCGGAGTCAATACCTCCGTGAGGCGCTTCGTCTAAGCTTTTGTTCGTCCAAGAGCTGCAAACTCTCTCCTCACGTTTTACGTCTACATGGATAAAGGCACGTTTTTCTCAGCAAGGGGGCGCGAGCGAGTCCACAGGTCGCACAACGTAATGGCGGAATAGATCGGTGCTTCAGCGTTCGCTATTCGTGATCGTAAATGTGGCGGTCCAGCATCGGATCATTCACGAGTCACGGTCATATATGCAAGCGCCTGTTAGCGTCTGTCCTATACATGCTAACCAAACGTCCGAGGAAGAAAGAATACACAAAAATAAAAGTGCAACTTGCGGCTTCGGTGCCCAAGCAAATGTAGTTTTTCAGCTTTTTTGTCCCTGTTGTTTTCTTTTATAGCGTCGGTGGGCAGAGCGGAAGAGCTGAACGAATCATAACGGAAACGCGACCGAAGAACATTCGAGCCAGGAGTGCTGCTCGATTTATGAGAGCTATTAGCCCCGAGAGCGAACACAATCGTCGCTGTGGTCGCCGCGCCCTGATTGCGTGAGGTGTACCGTGACGTCAGGGGAAGGACTCCGCTCCGAGATCTCGCATCCGGCTCGCTTCCCTGCACCGGTTCCCTGGTTCGGCGGTGTGTGCCGCAACCACTTCGAGGAGCGGGACCTCCTTTACCGGGTGCACAAGACGCTGGGTTAGGCCAATATTGACGTGCTTTCGCACATTTTATAATCCTGCTTGTCCCCCTTACCTTGATAATCGGGTTACGAATCCCGAAAGCAACGGCGGAGGCAATTCCGCCGATGAACCTTCCCGTCCGTCCACACGACACAAGGCAATCTTGCGAGTGGTCGGTGAACCGGAGGCGTTAGTGTTTCAGACGCTGGAGTTCTGTTCCTTGCATGTTCAGGATTTAGGAGAATACTACATCCCGCTTTGCAGGCATTTGAAATGGCATTTATATCGAGGGCCTCTGGGCGGTCAGCAAATTAGCTCGCGACACCACTCTGCATGCGCTGGTTTGCAGATGTCTTAAAGGCCCTGGATCTGAAGGCCTTTGAAATGCTCGTGGAACATGCATGGTTGTTTTGCATAAATGTAGCTTCTTCGTGAATTAATGATGTAGTTCATACACGTATGCAGGCATATTTTATTTTTGTAAAGAAGCACAATTACTGGAAATTAGTTCGTGGTAGCAGGAAAAACGGCCGAACTGCCCACAGTTGCCTGTATAAGATGTATGTAACTGCCCAAAATATGCAGAGCAATAGTATTGTAAATTGGAATTTTATACTCTTTCCAGACATTCTTTATTCATTCCAGCGTTGAGTATTCGGAAAATATACCGTCTAGTTTAAATTGTTATTTCCAATTAAAAGAGAGACTGCCGCAGGTCCCCAAAAGCTTCCTCAGCCTCCAAACTCCCTACAGCTGGCCTCTCTTACAACAGAGGAAAACAGGAGGAGCAGCGAGAATTCGAATGGCTATCCAGTGGTAGACGCTGCACCAGTAGCAGAAAATGTGGAATCTGTGAAGGGTGATAGTTTGCGTGAGAAAAGCTTCTGTTACTTTAGCTTCAAGACAGTATGATTTAGCTAGAATCTCAATTTTAGAGGCCAAGGTACTAACAACGGGCTACTGTCGCTTACGTTTGTAGAACATTACTTGAGGGATAATAGAAACAAGTTCACAGATACAACCAGTGGAGTCCATTGAAATACTATCCGAATCCAGCAAAGGCCAAATGCAAGCAATATACACAAATTTTTCTTCTTACTTTACTTTTCATCTGTACTTGGGTTGCCTCACTTGTGATTCTCTCTCCATGGCCCAGACTATATTTAACATGTTGCTCGAGCAGCATGCAGCTTTTCTGCTTCGGCGATCTTGTTTAAAAACATAAACAAAAACATAAAATAACTAAATAGTATACATAACCTGTCAATTCATTCAGATCATCAGTAGCACTGATTGTGTGAGATATAAATCTATTGTGATGGTCTAATTGTGGCACTATTTCTTCATTTTTATAAACCGGCTGCGATTCATGCGTTGCCTGCCCTGTAACCATGCCTGAAATGTTGGTTGAAGCTTCGCCTGCAGCTAGAGGCCACACCTCAATAAAGCCACATATGAAAATTTACACTTCCTACGAAAAGCACGCACAAAATATTAAATAGAAACGAGCGCGCCGACAGCAACCGTCGTCACAGCCTCCACAGGGCGAGCGGGTCGAGTCAGGGAAAACTTGTCCTCTCCGTGGCGTCACCCCGGTTCGCCGCAAGGGGGCGCCACGCGAACTTCTCGGGGCTAATAACGCGCGCTACCCTTTTTCAAAAGTGCGTACCCTTAAGTATACATGGTAATGCGTCGATTATTCGAAGGCTTCACATTTTAGGTATATACTTTGAGTACGCATTTGACACGGGTGCGGCGTCACCGTTTGGCGCCTGCGTGGGTCCAAATTTGTTCTACACGAGTTCTACGTCGGCGTTCGACCTAAACCGGGATGCAATTGCACGTTTCGCGCAGCAAGGTGCGCCCAAAATATGGCAGCTGCCAGTGGTGCCTGATAAAGTTTTGAAAAAAGTCATGTTCCTCGCAGACCGGGCTATCTCAAACTCGGCTCTCATATGTCGTACGAGAAAACTTCACCGAGTTCTTTAAACTTCCTTGAGTCCGCGCAACAGATAAAAGCCTTCCAATCCCTTCGTAGACGGGATGCAGTTCAGTAGGAGGCCAACTGCATCTTTCGTTTTCTTCCCCGCAGCAACGGAAATCGCTGTTAACTCCATCCCGCGTCAGCATCCAATGGCCACCTCCAAAGCAACGCCCGTAAAGTGAGTTAGTTTCAGGGGGAATGAAGCCATCGTAGGGGAATGCCTCATCAAGCATTTTACCCGATCAACTCTCAGTTATCTTCAGGAATCGTCAAAGTTTCGAGTATACAGTACGTCATGCTCTCGGACTTGGAGCTCTCCTGGGATCAGGGACACACGAAACGCGTTCCAATTCCGGTAACGATCACGGTGCCTGCACCTATATAACCAAGGCGAGGCGAAAGCGAACAGAAGCTCCTCGCCGAAACGGTTCACCGCCGTCAATTTTGCCTCACGGCACTTCGCCGGCGGAGATGTTAGGAGCCGGACGAAAAGGAAAGCAAAAAAAACGCGGGTCCCGTAGTGTGTCCCCGCTATGCGACGTATACGGCGGACCCTAGCTTTCCAATTTGCGCTTGCGAGTCTTCGTTCGGTTGTAAGTAGGGTGTCCTCCCTGAACTCAATCGGCCAGGGATGGTTCCCCCGAGTTGAACGAAAGGATGCCCTATCAAGCTCCTGCTTCCCCCGCGAAGCAGCTAGGGGCACTGCCGCTCTTACAGCCCTAGTGCACACTGGGGCTTCCTTCGCCGCCGAAGTTCGCGAAATCGCATTCGCTTTCAACGAAACCGTTGTCAAAAAAAGAAAAGCTCGCCTCTCTGAATATACTTTTTTTAATGTATTTGCGGACCTTATTTGGTCCTACTGTACGACCTAGCAAGCCCAAATGAGCGGCAACGAAGTAGTATTGACTTGTCTTTTTTTTTTTCCTCGGTTTTTGAGTGCAATTTATTTTGTAACTATATTCTCCGGTCTTTCTTTCCTTACTCCGAGAGTTTCGACTGCTCCTTGTCTCCCCTTTCCCCTACATTTTGTTTTTTGCTCCTCCCTCTTTTTTTCTTTTTTTATTGTACAATCTTCGTTTTTACAACTAAGCCTTTTCACTTTTTACAAAGATTGCTCATCGTTTTCTTTTTGCAGTTTCCTGCACTCCTGAGATCAGTTTCCAGGGAGAGACGGTGTCCTCAACGAGAAGGCTGCGCTGCAAGTACGTCTCTGTCTATCTTTTTATCCTCCCTTGCACTGTTCCCGCATCCGTCCTCCTCTTCCTCATCTTTTCCTTTTGGTACGATCATTTTGTTGTTTGACCCCGTTCGTACCGTTTCCGCTCCTTTAATTAGCTCGTCTCTCCGAGAATATTCCTCTTGCCTCGTGAGAAAAGAGCACCGGATTTGTTTTTATTCCGTTCTTTTCCTGTAGCGGTTCCTTCTTTACGCTGTCGCATTGTCTCTCTGCGTTTGCCTCATCATCGATCCAGTCCCTGGAGTAACAAACGCTAGACTCGTTTGTGACATTTGACGTGTTTACCTTCTTTCCATTCTCTCCATCTCTCTCGTAAACTAACGTTCACCTAACGATGGACCGCAGCGAAACGCTACGAGCAATCCCAGCCAATTCAACGCCGTGGACGTGTCGCACGACTCCGCGCGTCGATGCGCCCTTTCTGAGGGTCACGTGACACTCGCACAGTACAAAATTGGCCGGAACGGTTTCGTAGCGTCCGCTGCGGTCCACCATTCGGTGACAAAAGTGTTCGAGTTGTCCCGCTTTCTATGGAGTGTGGCGTTGCTGGAGTTCCTTTGTCTGCGAGTCGTCTCGTTGGTACTTGAGCACGCGTGGGGTTGTGTCTTTCTTCATCCGACGCATCCAGACTGCCTCCGGATAGAATCGGTTCTTGTCGTAACTCACGTTCTGCGGAGGTAGCAAAGAGTTGTTCTTCCGATGAGCCTCTCGATCGCGATGACGACTGTCAAGTACCGGTTATTTGGAAATGTAGAAAAAGAAGCATTTTTCTTCTTGTCGCAAAAAATGAAAACAGTTGCCGAACGCTCCGTCTAGCGGCGCACCTAGGATGTGGAAAGGGGAGAGGGGGGGTGCTGGGCAGACGAGTACTTCACGAGGAAGCTCTGAGTTAGGATAAGACAAAGGGTACCGCGGGCCGAAAGCTTTCTGCCCCACTAGTGCTGAGATACAACGGCCGGCCGGGCGTGGTTCGCATATTCTTCTACACTGCTATCCACCACAACATAAATTATCTCGACTCCCCTCTCCCTCCCCTCCGCTTTTCTGGATATAACATTTTTTTTTTTCTTTTTTCACTGCGCGGGCGGTAATAAACAAATTTGACGCTGGAACATTACATTCCAGTTGATAGAGTGGGCAGAGTGGGTCAGTAAGAAACCAACGGAAAAGAGAAAAGAAACTCATGCCAATAAAATTGCACCGATGTCTAAAGTCAGCTTATTGGTTAGAGACCATCGTTCCGAAACGAGGGCAAAGTTTGAACACCGCAACTACCAGTTCCGGCTCGACGTTGAGCAGCGACCTGCACTTTGTCACTTTGTTTTCACCGATGTCACTTTCAAATTGTTTCTGCTGCAGTTGGTAGTCGCATATGAGAAATTCCGATACTTATTTTAACCAATAAAACATTGAATCTGTGTTCCTGTTCACTCTGAGCAACACTCCAAGTGTCGTCTGCTGTCGGCGCAATTTTTACGCTCGTATTGCTGTGCTGCGATCACGGCCAGCAATGGAATTGCCTCGGTAAGACGGCACATTTACTATTACAGTATGTACACACTTGGCCCGATTGTAGCCACCGGATTGTGGCGCCGACGAATTTGGGTTGTTCGAAACGCTTCGCGCTGTCAGCACAGCTAAGGGGGCGGCGTTTTGAAATAATATAAAGCGTATGCCATCATGGTCCTGCCGCTTATCATGCTCAAATTATATTTTTTACTGGCGAAAGGGCAAACATTAACCGACAACCATGCTGAACCTCGAGAGGAGTCGGGATTCGCAAGCAGCCACGGAGCAGTAGCAGACGGAAACGCGTCTAAACCACACAAGAGCGTTAAAACAATACAGGTTCAAAAACGACTGTTTTAGATATTCTTTCTTCCCTCGGGCAATTCAAGAATGGAACGAGCTACCAAATGATGTCGTCGTTAACACAACTGTTGCTAATATTGTATCTGCTCTTGAATTCATACTTAATTGAGTTTTCATTCATAAATCTGCATCTTATATACATGTTTTGTACCCACTCCTACCATGGCTCCTTGACTGGAGCCAGCAGTATTCCTAAATAAATAAATAAATTAATTAATTAATTAATGCTTCAGCAGCGCCACCTAGTTGCGAAAAAATCGGACACGGTTTCGGACCCCCTCCAATGTACAGCGTCTATGGGAAGTTCCATATCTGAGTGGGTCTAGTAACGGTGGTATCAGCTAATGCGCTGATTCTAGCAAGCCGGCCCTGAATTTCCTCTCTTTCAAGAGCGCCGCCATGTTTTTGTATACTGAAGCCATCAACCTGTATTGGGCAGGAGATCAAACTATAGGGCGCACTTTGTCGAGCCTGTTTTCCACGCAGTTCATTGTTTAGTAACACTTCGCAGCAAATAAATTGAAGCTCGCCTAGCACGTTCTGGGCAAGAGCGCTTCGGGTCCCCAGTGCCATAGCCTCCTATAAACTTACAAAGCCTGTCAGATCACCACGTGGGGTAGCCACCGAAATGGAAAAGGGGGAGCGACAGACAACGAATGAGAGGAGAGCGACGTGATTGGCTCCCCGCTGCGGCGAGACACCGAAACTCACTTCTCCCGAGCGAACAAGTGTGCTCTGGGTCCTCGCCGCTGCAAAAGCTGTGCCTTGACGTCCAGATTCCCCGAGAAATCGCTCGTTGATGCTCTGTGCTCCCAGATCCTCGCGCTCCAAATCTGCGACCGGGCACTCTATGGTTTCGTCGTCGAACTGCCAGGTTTTGTGAGTGTAGAGGAGGCTATGTCAGTGCTTTTGTCGCACGAGGAAGGTCCTTCGAATCGTCATCTTCGATTTCTCTGATCAGAAACAAACAAGAAAATTCGGTTTGTTGTCTCCACAGCTGGAGCGTTCCGCTAGAGGTGTGACTGTTCAATCTCCTCCCCAATAGGGACTGCGGTGGCTGCGCCGTTGCATTCCTATCAGAAGCTTTGTACAAAATGTCGAGCAGAAACGGCGTAAATGCATACCATTCCTGGCGGCTTTGCAAAAAGCAAAAACCGATGGCAACCACAGCCCGTCTGCGTAAAGCACTGCTGGTGCCTGTTTTTTTTTTGTCTTTTAAGGAGGTACTTTAATGGAAACGGGGAATGATGTATAATAAATATGAATACATAATAAAGACAAAAAATTGCAGTGACGCATGACCGATGTAAAGTAAGATGCTCACTTATGAGTTTCTGATTTTGCTAGAATTTGTGAACAACGTACTGATTTGCAAATATCGAGTTAAGAAAGGCCTACAAATTTCAAAAGTGCACTTTCACGATGTTGGCTTAGACATAAAAGCACTCAAAGATTATTTTTAAGATGAAAGAGAAACGCTGGTAGGCGAGTCACTTGATGAAGGGGTCGTCTATGGGAAGAATGGTGCATTTAAGTTGAAAGGCGTCCGAGACGAAAAACAACAAATGTCGGAAACACAATTGAGAGGGGGCGGCTTAACCTTCAAGCGGAAAAAAGAAAGGGCCATGAACTTCACACCCGACCGTCTTCATATAAATATCGACCAGATGTTCACTCGTCTATGCATGACATCCATGCGAAGTTTACCTTCCTCCTGAATTTGGTGGGCTGTGATATGGTACCGACAACGATAACTTAAGGAAAAAGAATGTTGCAGTTTCGTAGAAGCTCGAAACTGTGACGTCGACGCACATTTGTAATGTGTATGAATAGGTTTAACACCGAAGATTGTTGCTGTCAAAGCTCACTGACCTGGAAGCATCATGACCTGAAGAACTCCTTCGCTTTAGAGTCCAGAATATGCCGATGATAGCCTCTAGCCCTCTCTTCACATTATTGTTCCAATACTGCTAACTATATCAGTTTCTATCGCTGCCGTTCAGTGGTTGTTCCGCACGTTGAAATGAATAATTTCGCATTTGCGAGTGTCCATGGGTCAGGACAGACTTGGTGACGTCGCTCCGCTGATAAAAAACTGAGCAAATTGACTTCGAAGACGTGGTGGACCAATTACCTTCTGCGAAAGCAAGAAAAGTTTTTGTTGTACTTTGTATACACTGCCGTGTTGTATCAATTTGTTTTATACTAGTTCTACGAATTATCAGATGTGCCAAATAAAATGACAAAATCGTAAACAACATATTTCTGCTGACACACCGTCTATAACGTTATCTAAGCGTCTTCGCGATTTATCAAACTGTTCATGTGCCCACCTTGTTTTCTGTTCTGTGTGGTTCAAAATTATTAAAAACCAGTGTATTTTTTAAATGTAAACTTTTTTTTTTGCTGCTAAATATGGGCTCCAGGCAAGGATGAGGATGTGGTTTGACAGGAGCTTATCCTATTTGGTATCTTCCTTACCTGTGTGCTCAGTACAACGCAATAGAATGGATGTGCTGAGACACAGCTTTGGTGGGCGCGCGGGATTAAAAAAAGAGCCCTACCAATGCCAGCACAAGTACCACCTTTGCCCTTATCGCCATCATCCTGATCATCCTCATCATCAGGGGCGCGGAAAGTATTCCTTGCCATGGGGGCGCCGTACGGTACTCGCTCCGTCTTCAACAAAATGAGGCGCTAGAGGTTGGAACCAGATGTAAAAGTTTCAGGACTGAAGATTCTACGGTGATGTCTCGATAATTCGGACACCGTTTATAAGGATAGCCCGCTACATAGGAAACAATTTCTGGGACAAGCAGGTTATATTCATGGATATGTGTCTCGGTATTATGGACAACTCACATTATAGACGATTTTTTTCGGGAAGCAGCAACGGGGGTGTTTTTATTAACGAGAAATCACTCTGCTATTCCCAAAGTTGTAAACGATAAAAAAAAAGAAGTTTAATTGAGAAAATTGCGGCCAGTCATACACGCGAATTCTAGGGAATGAATTCTATGATAATGGGAACGCCTCCATTTTCTAATTTAAACTTACCAGAAATCTTATTTTTGATCACATAACGGTACGTTC